GTTGGAGGCCTGGAGTGCTGCAGTTCATGGGGTCGCAAAGAGTTGGACACGATTGGGTGACTGAATTGAACTGAATAATATTGTGCATCCTTTCATGTGCTGTTTTATATCTTTTTGGGTGAAATGTCTGTTCATGTTCTTTTCCCATTTTTAAATTGGTTTATTTGCTTTTTTGTTATTCAACTGTAGCATTCCTTTATATGGTTTAAGTATTAATTCCTTATCAAATACATGATTTGAAAATATTTTCTCCCATTCCATGAGTTATTTTTTAACTCTTTTGATAGTGTCCTTTGATGCAGACACATTTTTAATTTTGATGAAATCCAATTTATGTAGTTTTCTTTTTGTTGCCTGTGTTTTGGGGGTCACATTTAAGAAATCCTATGTTATAAAGATTTCCTCCTGTTTTTTAAATGAGTTTATAGCTTCAGTTCTTAAGTTTAAGTCTTTGATCCACTTTGAATTAACTTTTTTATGTGGTATAAGGCATTCTTTTACATGTGGATATTCAGCTTTCCTACTGTTTTTTTGCTTATAGTATATATCTGTTTATTGTCTGTTTTCTCCTACAAGAATTTGAGCTCCAGGAAGGCACGGTTTCTGTCTGTTCTTGTCATTGACATATTGTATTAATTTTTATTACTATTGCCATTTACTGCTATTTGTGGTTAAAAAAAACACTTTAAAATGTAGTGCCTTAGAACAGCAATAAACATTGATTATTGTTTAGTGGGTTTTTTTTGGCTGCACTGGGTCTTCGTTGCTGTGCGCAGGTTTTCTCTAGCTGTGGTGTGTAGGGGTTACTTTGTTGGGGTGCACGGGTTTCTCATTGCGTTGGCTTCTCTTGTTGCAGAACACAGGCTCTAGAGGGTGTCCTCATCAGTTGCCGTGCAGAGGCTGATCATCTCGGACCAGGAACCAAACCCGCGTCCCCTGCCTTGGGAGGCGGATTCTCAACCACTGGACCACCAGGGAAGCCCTAGTAAACATTTACTATCCCTTACAGTTTTGACGTGTCAGGGATTTGGGAGCAGCTTGCTGAATGGCCCTGGTTTAGGGCCATTCTGACTGAATCTTGCGGGATTCAGTCAGATGTGGGCTAGGACTGAAGTTATCTGAAAACTTGACCGGGACTAAAGGGTCTATTTCCCAGGTGGCTCATTGACATGGCTTTCAAGTTGGTTCTAGATGCTGATGGGAGGCCTTAGATTTGTTCTTAAGAAAGTTTCTCACACATAGCTGCTGACTTCCCCCAAAGCAGGCCATGTAAGAGAACAGGAAAAAACTACAGTGCCCTAATAACCTTGTCTCAGAGGGGATAACCTATGCTTTTCCTGTGTGTTATAGGTGACACAGTCCAGCCCTTATTAATGTGGGAGGGACTATACAAGGACAGAAGAACAGGCAGCAAGGATCACTGGGGGCCCAAACAGAGGATGGCTACCACTTGTATCTATCCCCACTGCCTAGAAGAGTACCTAGGATAATAATCTGGTATGATGAGCCGTATATTATATAGGCAGCATATATATGTAAATGTTCAGAAAATACTTGATGAGTGAATGAGTCGCTTAGAGGTTCTTGGTGAGGCCACAGCATTAAAGAAAAATCAGAGCAACAGAGGCCTAGGAAAGGCAGGATTGACTGGAACCGAGGATTCTATATCTTCAGGATGCTCTCTGTTTCATTTTTTACTTCTCTGAGAACAGCCAGGATTTCTGGGTTCAAATCCCTGAGCTTCATAATGAGAAAGCAAAGGGCAGCTCTGGCCTGAAAAATCCTCGGGGAGGTTTCTCCCAAGCCTACCCCCTTGAGCCAGTTACTGTGGTCAGGGGATCAAGGTAACATAATTGGTTTAGCTTGAGGTCAGGTGTCTACACCTGTTATTAGAAGATGGAAGGGGATGTGGGCAGATTAAAAATAGTACAACTCCCTGGCCAGATTAGGTAGATCCCCATTCTGTATGTTCCCATCATACTATATCTCCAAATAATAGAACATATCATTATTGTCCATTTATTTGTTCACATGTCTGTCTTGAACAGGAGACCATACATTCTTAAACTAGAGTCTCAATACATTGAGACAAATGAAGTTACATTTTTGTAACTTCAAACAACACAGTGCAGAGAGAATTATGACTGTATTTTTGCTTTTTGTTTTTCTGTCATTGTAGCTTTGGGCCAGCCATAGTGTCCCCATCTTTTATACAGGTCAAATGATAGCTGTGGGCTTCCCAGGCGGTGTCAGTGGTACAGAACCCACTTGCCAATGCTGGAGTTGTAAGAGAAGCATGTTTGATCTCTGGGTTAGGAAGATCCCATGAACAAAGGCATGGCAACCCACTTCAGTATTCTTGACTGGTGAACTCCATGGACAGAAGAGCCGGGGGAGGGGGGTGGTGCGGTACAGTCTGTAAGGTCACAAAAAGTCGGACACGATGATGCGAATTAGTAGCAGCAGCAATGACAGCCACCCCATTTTGGAAGCACATTACATTATTGGTGATATGAACTGAGAATATTAGTTGCTGCCCTTCCTTTTAGAAAAGTGTCTGACACAATTCTATGTTCTTGATAGGTTTATAAATGAATGATTGAATGAATAAATAAATGAAACATTCTTAGTGATTTGCTTGGGTTCACTTATCAGTTCAGTTCAGTTTGGTCACTCAGTCATGTCCGACTCGTTGCAACCCCATGAATCACAGCATGCCAGGCCTCCCTGTCCATCTCCAACTCCCAGAGTCTACCTAAACCCATGACCATTGAGTCAGTGATGCCATCCGGCCATCTCATCCTCTGTAGTCCCCTTCTCCTCCTGCCCCCAATCTTTCCCAGCATTAGGGTCTTTTCCAATGAGTCAACTCTTCACATGAGGTGGCCAAGGTATTGGAGTTTCAGCTTCAGCATCAGTCCTTCCAGTGAACACCCAGGACTGATCTCCTTTAGGATGGACTAGTTGGATCTCCTTGTAGGCCAAGGGACTCTCAAGAGTCTTCTCCAACACCACAGTTCAAAAGCATCAATTCTTCAGTGTTCAGCTTTCTTCATGATCCAACTCTCACATCCATACACAACTAGTGGAAAAACCATAGCCTTGACTAGATGGACCTTTGTCAACAAAAGTAATGTCTCTGCTTTTTAATATGCTATCTAGGTTGGTCATAACTTTCCTTCCAAGGAGTAAGCGTCTTTTAATTTCATGGATGCAGTCACCATCTGCAGTGATCTTGGAGCCCCCCAAAATAAAGTCTGACACTGTTTCCACTGTTTCCCAATCTATTTGCCATGAAGTGATGGGACCAGATGCCATGATCTTAGTTTTCTGAATGTTGAGCTTTAAGCCAACTTTTTCACTCTCCTCTTTCAATTTCATCAAGAGGCTTTTTAGTTCCTCTTCACTTTCTGCCATAAGGATGGTGTCATCTGCATATCTGAGGTTATTGATATTTCTCCTGGCAATCTTGATTCCAGCTTGTGCTTCTTCCAACCCAGCATTTCTCATGATGTACTCTGCATATAAGTTAAATAAGCAGGGTGACAATATACAGCCTTCTTTTCCTATTTGGAACCAGTCTGTTGTTCCATGTCCAGTTCTAACTGTTGCTTCCTGACCTGCATACAGTTTTCTCAAGAGGCAGGTCAGGTGGTCTGGTATTCTCATCCCTTTCAGAATTTTCCACAGTTTATTGTGATCCACACAGTCAAAGGCTTTTTTGCGTAGTCAATAAAGCAGAAGTAGATGTTTCTCTGGAACTCTCTTGCTTTTTCAATGATCCAGTGGATGTTGGCAATTTGATCTCTGGTTCCTCTGCCTTTTCTAAATCCAGCTTGAACATCTGGAAGTTCACAGTTCACGAATTGCTGAAGCCTGGCTTGGAGAATTTTGAGCATTACTTTGCTAGTGTGCGAGATGAGTGCAATTATGTGGTAGTTTGAGCATTCTTGGCATTGCCTTTCTTTGGGATTGGAATGAAAACTGACCTTTTCCAGTCCTGTGGCCACTGCTGAGTTTTCCAAATTTGCTGGCATATAGAGTGCAGCACTTTCACAGCATCATCTTTCAGGATTTGAAATAGCTCAACTGGAATTCCATCACCTCCACTAGCTTTGTTCGTAGCGATGCTTTCTAAGGCCCACTTGACTTCACAGTCCAGGATGTCTGGCTCTAGGTGAGTGATCACACCATCGTGATTGTCTGGGTCATGAAGATCTTTTTTGTACAGTTCTTCTGTGTATTCTTGCCACCTCTTCTTAATATCTTCTGCTTCAGAAACAGAAACAGAAGCAAAAGATTTCACTTATAAATGAGAATAATAATAGGATTACAGTGAAGATTAAGTGAGATGATAGATAAAGTGCTTCCATAGCCCAACTCATGGAGAGTTGGTTTATCTCTATTTAAATATCTCTCATAAGGTATATAACTTGCCTCTGTATTTCATAGAAACTCTCAATGAATAATCCTGAATAACACAAATGCAATATCCATTAACACAACAGCCTGCAGTATTCCAAAACCTCAATTAAAGAGTAGAAAAAAAACAAAAAATAGAACTTAACAAATTAATAATTTTGTCTAGAGTCAAATTTAGGTACTGAAACCAGCTAATATAAAGAAGCTTCTAACCAGTGGCTCAGACTTGACACCCCAAACACAATAACAGTTGGTGTTATAATTGTCATTCTGAGACAAATCAAATCATTGAAAGGAAGAAGGAAGGAAAGTGAAAGAAAGAAAAGGGAGAGATGGAGGAAGAAAGGAAGGAAAGCTGGAAAAAAAAGTTAGCACCCTTATGCCCCCAAAGCTTCATTTACTGCATTCCTAGTCCTCCACATTCCCAGCTTCCCCCAAGGGTGCTACCTAAACAAATGTAGAGGGTGGAACTGAAAGGGTGTTGATTGGGTGGATCCCAGTGACAATGTCTTGTAAACACTCCCTATGAGTCAGCTATAAATTCAATTCAAATCCCAGTCTCCCTGTCTTTGCTTATCATGGTTACCACCAAAATGACTTCTGCCTTTAGAAACTCTAATAGGAAACAGGTAAATGTCTAAAACAATGTTTGATTTTACATTAAAACTTATGAAAATGTAATTCCTCTAACAAGATATTTTGTTACTGAGTTAGGATTAATATACCTTGCTTGATCTTCAAGTCACAGGAACAGCTTGTTGACATTTCAGCTTTATTTTGAGACTGCTATCTCCTTATTCTGTGGCCATTTGAGTGTTGAACAAAAATTTATGAAGTGTTAGGTTTAATTCCACACCTGTAAGAAAGGTTATTTTAATAACTGACTTCTGTAATTCAATACTGTTTCTCTCCTTGCTGTAATTGGCTGCTGGTTATCTTTTCTGAATGTGCTTTTTCAGAGGAGACAGTGTGGCTGCATGGGTTTCAAATTTCTCATGTGGAGAAAATGATTAACTGGGGGAAAAGCTGGTTGCCACAGAATTTGCTGACAAATTCTGTTTGGTGGCAGTGTTGATGGTTGCATGGCCTTTCGGTGATGACTTCAACATGGTTGCTACCAAGCTGTGTTTTGATGCACAGGGCATAATAAAAGCTAAATTAATTTTATTGTAAAGTAAAATTTTACCTTCCTAATGTAGTTTTTTAGTTTCATTTTTGGTAGAGGTTGGGACAAAGTTAATTAACATTAGCTGATATTGTACTTTACTGTTTTTAGACACTTCTCACATGAATAACACTTCTGTTGTTGGCAACTCTTATTCTTACTTGTCTGATGGAACAAGCTTACAGAGGCCAGACAATTATTAGCAGGTGGTAGAGTCAGGATTTTTCTGTTGCAGAGTCTTTTAGAAATCTATTTAAATTTTTGGCATATTGATGCTTTGTAACTTTGGATAACAGCAATTACCATTCACTGAATGCCTATTTTGTGCCTTGGGTATATTATTTCACTTAATTGTCACTTCAGTGCTTAAGTAGATCATTTTATTCTCTCTAGTTTATAATGAGAAGACAGGAGTTCAAAGAGGTTAAACACACTTTTGGCAAACACATGTGAAATTTTAGGTTACAATCTAGTCACGTGCATTAATTTGGAAGTTACTAGTTCCCAGATAATTAAATAGATTGGAATTGCTGCTCTAATTGCACTAAGTTTTGTCTTGCTCTAAAACAGATACTTCAGACTGTCAAGAAAAGAATGGACTTCTCCCCTGGTGGGTGAGGTGAAAACTGGCACTCAACTGATCTCCCAATTTGGTGGCAGAGTTTTAAAAGCTGTTGTTGGGTTGATAGTGTGAATGTCTGATATCACATGTAGAAATGATGTCCAATCACTGGAGCCCAAGACCTGGTTCTTTACCACAATGATGGCAGATCTAGTCCCTGCTCGTGCACAAGTGCCAAGAGATGGCAATCGAATTGTGTGCCTCTTAACAATGTTCTTTCCTAAGATAATGTGTCTTGCAAACCACAGTATGTGGTGGAGGTGAAATGGTGAGGTTAAAGCCATTTTTATCACCTCAGTATGAGAGGCCACAGCTTTTGTGCTTGAGTGCCTTTTGGTTTGTGATATGGAAAGCACCAAGCCAAGTGAATAGACTTTCATTTCACTATCTCATTGTGAGCCTTTGGGCTGAAGGTCACAATGGAGTGCTGTTCCTCCTTTTTCTGGAATAGTGCTGCCAAGAGAACTTTCTGATGGATAGAAATGGTGTATGTGTGCTGCCCAACTTAGTGACTAGCTGCCACATGTGGGCTGTTATTAAGCACTTGAAAGGTGTGAGTGCTACTGAGAAACTGAAATTTTAAGTTTCAATGTAAATAGTCACATGGGGCTTCTGGCTGATGTATTGGACAGTGCAGTCCTAGAATGTAACTGAGATACCCTGGTTCTCTCTGGAAACTCCAGATGCCAGCTGCCCAAAGTGAAAATGGGCAATGAATTTAACACTAGTTAGTTCCTTTTCTGGACTCTGAGTAGTTTTGCCTTTCAGGGGAGTGTACTGAGGTTATAAGAATGCCTCCCTTGCCTTTCTTTTCTGTGAGCAATGAGGCTCACATGGCTGACTTACAAAACACTGTTGGTGACTGAGAGAACAAACTCTGATGTTTAACCCTTACCTGGTTTAGAGGAGACTAGAACTCAGACTCTCCTTCTGTTCCCCTCCCAGTGTGTGCATGCTAAGTTGCTTCAGTCGTGTCTGACTCTTTGCAACCCTGTGGACCGTAGCCTGCCGGGCTCCTCTGTCCATAGGATTCTCCAGGCAAGAACACTGGAGTGGGTTGCCATGCCCTCCTCCAGGGGATCTTCCTGACCCAGGGATCAAACCTGCGTCCCCTGTGGCTCCTGAATTGCAGGCAGATTCTTTATAGCTGAGCCACCAGAGCAGCCCTCCCTTCTTAGATAGTGACCCAAATCAATATCATGGGCGTGTGGCATTAGAACACAGGGAATCTTGAATCACTAACTGAATTTGCCTCAAATTCAACTGTCTCTGAGGAGGGGACCCCTGTCCACTGCACTCACACTTCCTCTATCTTCTATTCTAGTTTCATTCAGAGTGTGAACAGCCGAGTGGCAGAGGGGTGGAGCAGAGGTGGTGATGGTGTGAGATTCGCACAGTGGAATTTCACTTATGCAAGTGTTCAAGCACTTGGGAGAGGTTAGAATTAGCTATTTCTCTAGTTAGATTTAGCTTTAATTTTAATCTTATTATTTATTTGTACAGATTTTTTTAAAATTTCAAATAAAAAATTCAATTTTTCAGTGAAAAACTAAAACATAAACTCTTTCATTAAATGAATTGGATGGTTAGAACTAATGGTAGAAGCTTCTGTCCTCAGGCTCATGATCTCATTAAAGATAGTACATCTTAGGCACTTAACACAATGGTACTGATTATTTAGATTGTTTAGAGTATTACATACACACACACACACGTATGCATGTGTGCATGTGTGCTCAGTCGCTTTAGTTGTGTTGGAGTCTCGGAGGCTCTATAGACTGTAGCCTGTCAGGCTCCTCTGTCCATGGGAATCTTCAGGCAAGAATACTGTAGTGGGTTGCCATGCCCTCATATAATTTGTACCGATTAAAAATGCGTAATTTGTACCAATAAAATCAACACCAAGCTTGTTCTTTATCCTTCATTCAAAATGTTAAGCAGCTACTATGCAAAGTGCTGGGGCAACTAAATAGTCCAAGACAAAATATGATTTCAATCTTTGCAAAGCTCTTAATCTAGTGGGTAAGTAATATAAACCACTTCTGACATTAGACTGACTGGGTCAAATCACTGCCCCATCATTTTTTATTTTTATAGATAAGGGCAAGTTACATGGTATTTACTAAGTCTCAGTTTTCTTATATACAAGGGGGTTATAGTGATACCAACCTCATGAGCATAGCATGAGGATTAAAAGGAAAAATGTATTAATACGTACAGTCCTTAGCCAATACAGTGCTCAACTGTGCATTAGCTTATTTTTTAAATTGAATTGACTCATGATATTGTATTAATTTAAGATGTATAACATGATGATTTGATATTTTTATACATTATGAGATGATCACAACAGTACAGCTAGTTAATAGGTTGGTGCAAATGTAATTGTGGGTTTGGACTGTGAATTTTAAATCATTGTAACTAGGCTCAAACACATCTTTATTAATCAAAATAGGAAACCATTACAATCAACACATTTTTGCCAACGAGAAATATGTTTGTTTATTAATGTAGTACAAAAATCCATGCTTCTGGATTTGACGAACTCTTGGAAAGCAATTTCTGTCTCCTGCTGGTTGTGAAAACATTTTCCCTTCAAAAAGTTGTTGAGATGCTTGAAGAAGTGGTAGTCAGTTTGTGAGAGGTCAAGTGAATATGGCGGATGAGGCAAAATTTCGGGGCCTAATTTTTGAAGCATTGGTTGTGGGACATGCAGTCATGCATTGTTATAGAGAAGAACTGGGCCTTTTCTGTTGACCAGTGGCAGCTGCAGGTGTTGCAGTTTTCAGTGCGTCTCATTGATTTGCTGAGCTTGCTTCTCAGATGTAATGGTTTCACCAGCACTCAGAAAGCTGCAGTGGATCAGACTGGCAGCAGACCACTGAACAGTGACCATGACTTATTTTTGGGGGCAACCTCGGCTTTGGGAAGTGCTGTGGAGCTTCTTCTAGGTCCAACCGCTGAGTTGGTCGTCTCCAGTTGTCCACTTTTCATCGCACATCACAATCTGATTGAGAGATGATTTGTTGTTGTGTAGACTAAGAGAAGACAACACTTCAAAATGACAATTTTTGGGAGGTGGGAGGGGGGACCGGGATGGGGAATACATGTAAATCCATGGCTAATTCATTTCAATGTATGACAAAACCCACTGCAATGATGTAAAGTAATTAGCCTCCAACTAATAAAAATAAATGGAAAAAAAAAATGACAATTTTTTTGATTTTCAGTCAGCTCATGAGGCATTCACTTACAGAATTTTTTCACCTTTCCAATTTGCTTCAAATGCTGAATGACCTTAGCATGGTTGACGTTGAGTTCTTTGGCAACTTCTTGTGTAGTTGTAAGAGGATCAGCTTCGATGATCCTCTCAATTGGTTGTTGTTAACTTCTGATGGCCGGCCACTGTGCTCCTCATCTGTCTCAAGGCTCTCATCTCTATTGCAAAACTTCTTGAACCACTACTGCACTGTACATTTGTTAGCAATTCCAAATGCGTTGTTGATGTTGTGAGTTGTCTCTGCTACTTTACAACTCATTTTGAACTTGAATAAGAAAATTGCTCAAGGGACTTCCCTGGCAGTCCAGACTTTGCCTTCCAATGCAGGGGGTGCAGGTTCAATCCCTGGTCAGAGAGCTAAGATCCCACATGCCTCATGGCCAAAAAGCCAAAAACATAAAACATTAATAATATTGTAAAAAATTCAATAAAGACTTTTAAAAAAGAAATTTGCTCAAATTTGCTTTTTGTCTAACATCATTTCCCTAGTCTAAAATAAATATAAATACACAGCAAATAATAAGCAAACAAAATAAAGGGAGAAATGTGCATTAAAATGATG